TACAACTGTTAGATTTAATTAATACCGGATGTCCCAAAAGTCCAAATGAAAAACAAACTTTAATAACTCCGTCATTTGTAAACTACCCTTTAAGGTTATTTCTTTGCTCAATGGAGGAAAGTTTCAAGTTTTATTTGATGTGTTTGGACATTTTTGTTAATACTTGAAAGACTCAACTTCAAAAACTTGCGAGATGTATCCTACTATAATTCTCAGTTTTATCTCTAGGTATCTCTACCTATTTCTAGTGTTAGCTATTTTTATTTTTATTTTGTTCTAGTCCTCCTTACTAATTTGGCATATTTGCAATCTGTGATATCTCTATGTATACCTTCCTTTTCTTTTTGTTGATGTATTTTTGTGTCCGTGTCTTTCGTGTTTTCTTACTAACCTTATTCCCGTCTAGTTAGATTATTTACAGCTAAATGAAGTTTTAAATCATGTTGTAATACTACTATGTTTTGTTTATTTTTATTATATCCAAGTTGATGAATATGTCCATCTTTTTTTATACACATTTCTGCAAGCGCTTCCGAGCGTGACAAATAAATGGCTCAATCAAAAAAAAAAAAAAATACTTAACATTAATTTGTTTCTTTAACGTAGTTATTTGTCCTATGATACTTAATGTTAATTTGTTTCTTACGTTAAGACTCTCACATTTCGTTTAGACGTTAAGCTGCCATTTTGTTTTTCCCGTTTCTTACATAATATTTCGTTTTCTTTCCTTTCCTTTAGTTATCAAGGTTATCAAGTACGTGAGCTCTAAATTCAGACGTAAGGCACAGAACAGGTCACATTATATTCGAATATTAGCGAAATGCGATGCAGGCAATAAATGCCTATAGCGATACCGTAATTTCTATTCCTTCCTTTCCTTTCACTATCTATCAATCAATTAATACTTATGTTTAACGACTACACGATGGCCCATAGATACATATTCAGTAAAGAATTCATATCAGCAAAAAATCGAAAGGTAGGAATCATCGTTTTTCATCTATTGACATTAGTTTTGTACTACTGTTTTAAATAAGTATTTGTGTAATATTTATTCGTTTCAATATATCAACTTCATTAAAGTTACGATTTCCAACAGCATGTATCAACCTTTTATCCCCATCATTTGAATATTTTTATGCATTAGTAAATTGTTGTTGAAGAAGTTTTTTGTACATATAACAAATCGTTCTCGTTTTTCCACGATATTTTTATTCTTGTTGTTTGTATTACTTTTATTTTGATCAACATACTGTGAAATTTTCTTTTATTCTTCAAGATATTTTTGATAATAAACAGATACATTGAAAACAGCTAATAAAAGTGATTTTGATACAAGTATTTAGATGTTAAAAAAGTAAAGTTTAATATCAGCATAGTCACAGAAGTTGTTACTATTTTGTGAGATTATTTATTTCTATATAACTTCACACCTGTAATTATAGTGCGTAAACCATTGATCAATGCTTGATTTAATACTGATCTATCACCACTATTTACTATTTTATTTCCACTAAAGTCATGCTCTACATTCGTATTTTCATGAGATAATCATAATAATAAACATTTAGCTAATTTAGTTATTATCAGTTCTTTAGCAATTTTGCACAAAATGAGCACACATCAATAGAAAAATAGTCTTTTGTTTTCAATGTTTAATTTATGCAGTGATTTTCTTACCTGAAACATTCAAGAATGACAATCATTACTAATGATTCAGTTTTCGCTCAAAATTACAGGATAAACGTCGATTTTATGGTGTTAAAATCACCCCAATATAATTTTAGAAGAAGAAAATATTTGAATAAACAAATACACGTTTTATTGAGCGTTTATAATATCAGCAGCTTGAATCTAAAAGTATCTATGAATAAATATTTTTATTAATTCATTTTTGTTCATTTTCTGTCTATTTTCATTTAAAGTCGGCTGTAAAGCAAATCTATTTAGTGTACGCCAGTATAGTTAATAGCCTAAGTAATAGGCGAATGATATTCCATTTTACCAATTTCAACTGTTACTGTGTTGTTAGATGTTTTGTACACAAAGACGACGATTTAGTAATTCATCAACCGTTTTGTTTCCAATAACGTCCTTTTTAATCAATAATCAATATACTGTACATATACTGCATCGGTCGTGTAACATATAAACGAATGGGCGTGCTTCGTATTGAAATCATGTTAAAAATTTTCTAAACAATATTTTTGACACACACAATATAATTCCAAACCGAATTTTAGACATTGTTGACGTCAGATATACTTTAACACGTCAATAATAAACAGAGTTTTCTATATCTGATGTACAATGGTGTAGCATGAACACTAAAAAATACTCTCCAATTATATCCCACTGTCAACCCACATCGTATGACCTTAACATAACTTTTGCTATTGACTCACATATCGATTCAACAACGGAAAAGAAATCTTCTCTAGATGCTGCGCAACGGCTAAACCAATATCAGAAATCGTATAAAATATCATCAATCGACCAATTTAACGGATGTGTTCACCCTCAGTATTTCGTCAATATCTTACTCTATTTTCATAGTTCAGACTTCCTCTTGGTTTTAGAAAGATTCCCCATTCAATTCTCTATAAAACTGTATAAAAAGCTTCAGTGTAAGGAATATGGTAAGACAATATCAGGTTCCAAAACGCCGTACTTTCAAACGTTTTTTCGACTTTCTTCGTTTTAACTCTTGAACGTGCAAGACACAGGGGAACCAAATAAGTCATTTTGCACCCTTCGACAAGCGCTACCGTTTAGTGACAATATAAAATTTTCTGAGGTTAAACCTGGGTGTGAAGAACTTTTTTCAAATTTTCTGGATTTCTCCAACATTTTTGTCTGACTTCGTACAACTCATGTAGTAAGATCACAAATTCATTTCTATGGTCAAATTTTTGTTTTTTTAGAGACAAATAGTTATTGAAATATTACACGGTGAAAAACGTTTTTTAACATTTTTCTATTTTTTTGGAGGTTCGATCGTCGATTACAGGATAAAAATTACCGAATGATTAAGGTTCTAATTCTAACGGCAAGGTTAATTAAGGTTTATTAAAGTTCTAAATTAAAACCTTAATCATTCGGTAATTTTTATCCTGTAATCGACGATTTTAAATAAACCTCCAAAAAAAAAATAGAAAAATGTTAAAAAACGCTTTTCACTGTGGAATATTTCAATAACTATTTGTCTCTAAAAAAACAAAAATTTGACCATAGAAAATGAATTTGTGATCTTACTACATGAGTTGTACGAAGTCAGACAAAAATGTTGGAGAAATTTGAAAAAAGTTCTTAATTCACCTTTTATTTCAAATGTGTAGATTTGTAGTTTTATTATCAATCGAAGGTTAACTAAGTGTGCAATACGAATACCTTTTATTATTGCCTTGAATGCAACGATGTCATGGAGAATTTCCCTTTTCGGGAAAAAAAAATGCAGCTTTTTCCTTGCACGAGAACTCTAGGTCCCTTTCTCAAATTTTTCCACCGGAAAATATTTCACATGTCTCTAAGTGTCTAGGTTTTTGTATTTGTTAGTTTCTTTAGTATCCGCGAATTGCCGGATCCCGGTTTCATAACATGCGAGAATTGTAAGATTTAAGTTAATCGAGAATTCGGGTATGTTATTGGTATAGTCTTCGATAACTGTTTGATTCATGAATGTTGGGATTCGAGGATTCCAGGTTTCGTGCGTTCCACGGGTGTAGTGTGGAAGAACTGTACTATTCAGAAGTCGCAGGATTTCGGAATTCGAGGATCCCACTCGTATAGTAGTCGGGAATTCCACGATCGCGGTGTTATTAATTATTCACATTCCTCACATTTTCCCATTGGAAACTGTTTTATGTGTGACTGGGTTCCACGATAAATACTTTCCAATGGGAAAATTTTAGAAACCTAAAAACCTAGAGACGTGTGAAACATTTTCCCGTGGGAAAATTTTAGAAACATTTTCCAATGGGAAAATGAAGAAAAGCAAAAGCCTGTGAAAAAATTTCGCATGTAGAAACTTTTCAGGAAACTTTTTCGTTTTCGTTTTCCTGAGAAAGGGAAATTCTTCATCCTATGAATGCAGCTACAAAAATTTACGTTTTCTTGAAGAGACTATTTTTAGAACAGAGAATGGTACAGATTCTGAAAGTAGATGGTTTAAGATACACGTTGATGTGAGTAACTTGATACAAGATTTTTAAAACGTTTCTTCAAAAATCAGTGTTTATAGCTAATAAAAATTGCATTAAATTTCTAATTACAATATTCGAGATTTGTGGTTCACAAAATTTTGAATTATTCGATAGTATTAATTAAGTCTTCTTTATCTTCGTTATTAATTACACATGAATTCAAAGCAGGAATATTAAAATGGTAAGTTCATGACTTTCCCAACTTTTCTTCTTACTTTCTTTTATACGGCGATGCACATATTAACTACTGACTGCTTTGCTACTGTCAAGGTATTTAGCAAAATATTCAGCGGAGATTTTTGGGTCTTGCTCTGTATTCAAAGAATAAAGAAACTTAGATGAAATGGGTCAAATTAGGAAGTGTCATAAAGCCTAATTAAAATAATTATATTTATGTTCATTGTTCAAAACTAACAACTATTATTCTACAAATTGATATTTTGGACTCATATTCGACTAATGTAACAAAACAATTGTTAGAAAAAAATAAAATTCAAATGGCAAATGTCTAATTTAATTTATGCTGTCCATTTGATGTATCCGTATGCTTGTAAGCATGATACTGTAAGATAAAAGATCCACAATAAAATAAAAATGATTGAACATAAATATTTTGAAATTTTTGGTCCGCCTAGTTCAGCTTTACCAAATATCCCCAAAAATCTTCTTAGTATTAAGATAGACATTGATATAACACAGCAAATAGAAAATATCATTACTGAAAAAGATAAATCACCAGCTTTAACTGTAAATGGTAAACTCTAAATAGAAAATTATTATTATACGTTGACTTATTATTTAAAAATAGAATAGTTTACTAACTTTTGTTTCCCAATAAATGGCTGCTATAACCCACGGTAATCCAAGACCAAGAAATACGTTGACACTATTTGATCCTGTTATATTTCCTATAGCATCATCAGCTGTTTTTGAAGTTTTAGCTGCAATCATACTGGCAAATGTGTCCGGTAATGATGTACCTATAGATCCATGATGTAATAATCAAATATTTCATACTTTTATCCCTTAGCTTACCCATGGCAACAAGTGATATGGCCGTTATACTATCTTTCAATCCTACTAAACAGCCAAAGATGGATGCTACATCACCAACAAGAGCTGTTAAGAGAGCTATGAATATTAATGAGACCATAAATGTGAACCAACCGCCAGCCATTTGCGTAGGAGGAACAAAGGCAAACAATATCTTAACATAGGAGAAGAGATAGTTTCACTAGTATTTTAATGCTTCTCTGTCAGAAAGCTATGACGATAACTATAAGTCAGATCTGGATGAAACTCTCAGGGAATGATGGTATTCTTACGGTACAGCTACAATGGATCAAAATGGAGCATTTTGCATTTAGTAAATTTTTCGTTAAAGTTAGTCTTATTTTTTAATTTTGATATGAATAGTAGTTGTGATTCATACCTTCCAAAAAAGTGATAGACAGTGCGCGATATAATCGAATGGTTTAGCTGATTTAACATCACCACCATTCACATTTAATGCATCATAAAATTGTTGACCCCATGTTCTTTTCGACACATTTAAACGATCAATATCAAGTTGAGCTAAACTAAACACTCGACGCGCCAACGACTGGTATTCTTCAAATATAAATAAATAATCGTAATTGAATATTTGAATATCTGTAACCTATGAACATTACCATCATCATTAATTATTGTCACCACTGTTCGTGAATGTCTTCCAATCTTACTACCAGTACTTGATTCAACTAACTCAACCGAGAATGATTCATCTTTTTCTTTTTCACTATCATCTATTATTGGAATTTCAATTGATTTTGATAATTCACCATGTTCAAATATTATTTCATTTTCTCCACCTGGAATATACTGAAAGTTCAATAAAACAAAAAAAAGATATTCATAGATAAAATTAACTTACCGATATAATCTTTCATTGAAACAGCAGTAATATCTTTTGTTCGATATTTAATTGTTACACGACCATCAGCACCATTTGAACGAATTACTTTTAATTCAGCTTTTGTAGCCGATTCTTTAACAAGTGAAGCTTGATGTTCAAAGTCAAATGTACCAGGTTCTATTTTAACGTCAAAAACAAAATAAAATCTGTTACGATCGATTTTTGAAAGTAAAGTCAGTTTTGTGTATTTACAAACCATCATCGTTTATTATTGTTACTAGTGCAGCCGTTTTTGATCCAAGTTTGGTTGGACGATTTTCTTCACTTTTAGGTAATGACAACTTGAAATGAAATCAAATGAGACAGAATGAGTTATATCCGTGAAAGTTTTCTTGTATTCATTCCAAATTTGCATTCCTCTGATATAGTGAGGGATGGGCATATAGTAGACTGACCTTAACAAAGAATGTTTCATCAGGTTCCCATTCATTATCATCAATAATTACAACTCTTATTTTTTTCTCATATTCTCCTTCTTTCATTTCAAATTCATCGGATAATTTGATATAATCTTCATTTTCTACAGCTGTACCATCAATAGTATCTAATCTGAATATAAAAAACACTTGTTTTATTCGTATGAGTAAAAGATCCAGAAGAGAAATCACCTGAATCTGCTCACTGTGTCTATTACACCAAGTCGCTGAATGATTAATTCAACATATTGTTGACTCTCGAGTACAGCATAAGATACTGTTGAAAATTCAATTATTGATTGATTTTTTCCATCATGATGTGTAGGACGCATGTTAACTTGTTTCGGATCAATAGGATATTGGGATCCAATACTATGTCTAGATTCACGTTCATCTACATTTTTTGAATGCTAAAAGAAAATTTTTGAAGTTTCTAACGTATAGTCCATAGTAAAACAAGCCGTCTTTTAATCAATTAAGTTTTAACAACTGATATTTACTAGATATGTCGTGCACGAAACTTAGCATTGTTAACCTATTCAGCTGCATGAGACCCATAAAGATTCCTCGATTAAGATCTTTCAGGGTACGTCCCTCCCCCCTCGTTTTTGCAAAATATTTTCATTTTGAGCTGAACATAGTCTAATGTAAATGAAAGTCCGGGCTATAAAATGAGGCCACTCCCAGGTCTCCACGATCTTTCTTGAAAAAATTATGAAATTTTTAAGTTTTTCCTTCAAAACCTAGAAAATCTCAATTTTTTAGTTTCATAAATTTTTCTTTCCTTTCCTATATGTTCAAAATATTTTCTTATAAATAGCATCATAGAAGAAAGTGTGCTCTTCAAAATGAGACGCCTTCCAGAAGTACTTGGAAGAACTTCGGATGCTTGCATATATTTCGAAAGTTTATAGATTTCAATAATTGCTTATATTATCCGTATTGTATTATCCGTTGAAGACCTGGTTTTCTGGAAAAATTTTCCAGAAAACCAGGTCTTCAAGAGTCAAGGGGATGAATCCTTTTAGAATTTTTATCTACACTATGAGTCCTACCTATGAGCAAAGTATGAGCTCACCCGGAGGGTATCAGTTGGTGAGGTTCCCTCGTAAGTGCATTTAGAATGTTTCCACCTCAAATTTATTTTGAATGGGTAATTATTGATTGCGATTCTTTTGCAATGTATTTAATGCAAAGTGATGCTGCCCATCAAAAACGTCTAAGAATCACGAAAGGAAGCACTTTTTTTTCCTTGGTCGTTAGATCATTTACTACTGATCGAGGCATCATAATACGTTTCCCTACAATTCTAGGATACGTATAGAATTCGATGTGACTACTGATTTAGTTGGTTTCCTTCAAGCAAGAGACAAGCTGAAATGTGGTTTAGTGGCTCACTCTCATACTCTCCAGCCATCCCGCTCCCTCCTCTCTCAGTCACAAAAATATACTTTACTAAAGCAGGAATTCCACGTGGACTTCTCTTGAAACGCACCAGAATTTCCGATTTTATAGCAGAATTGATCTAAAATTCCGGAATTATGATTTTCATGTGATTTATGATTCTCCAGTACAGAAAAATTAGTAGTCACATAGAATTTTATAGATTTCTTAGAATTCCTTTATTAGAACAACTTAAACCTTTGATCTTATAGCTCTGAAGAAATTCTCATACAATTCAAAGGGAAAATGAAGATTTCTGGAAATTATCTGAAATGTAGGGAATCTCCCTGCCATCCTGGAGAAATGACAGGAAGAATGAGAATGATAAATCGATGAAATTGGAAAAGTTGAGTGTTTTTTATGGGTTCCAACACGAAGTCGATACAGTTATTATCTATATTTACAAGTTTGTATAGAAAAAGAAGAGTGTTTAGTGTGGAAGGTAAATCAGGTGCAATATTACATCAGTCATTCTTTATTTTAAAACTAAGATGCCTAGTGTGAACATTCCAAGAGGAAATGCTTAACTGTTTCAGATTCACCACATGAAAAAAGCTGATTATTAACTAATTTTTTGCTAAATAAATCATAGTTTAACTTAGAAGAATTTACTCGTATTTGGTTGAAATATACTCTATACTTCCGCTGAACATTTGTAAATCTAGACCATCTATAACCTTTGCTAAAAATGGTCATGAAGCTTTACGCGAAAACAAGCCGGTTTAGCAATTGGACATAATTCAATACGTAGCTCATTCCATTGTCTTACCACCCACGGAAAAAAGGTTATTTTATAAATTTTTCTGTCCGAGTATAAATGTATATAGATGTTCTGCCACTTAGAGATTTAGAAACAGTTGGATAATTTGGTATCCTTCACGATAGAAAAGGTAGTGTAAGTCCTTTCTATACTTTAAACAATAAAGAATTTTGTTCATAACAAATAAGTGCTCAATAGGAATCGATCCCACAATTTTTAGTATTTTCTCTCAGATGATGTCAGATGCATAGCAGAGTTGTAACCGGGCCGGTGTCGATCCGTTCCGCTGTAAAAGTGTAGACTGGTCGGTCTCCACCGGTCTTTTGCCGGTCTAGAAAGATTTTCAAACCGACCGGTGATTGACTGGTTTTGAAATTCTTAGAATTTTTTTCTCTTCTTCACTGAAAAAAAGTGAGTTTTCTACCCTCTTGTCCGTCTAAAAAATTTTTCAAAACCGGTAGGTCTTTTGCCGGGTTTTCACCAGTCTAAACCGATTTTAGGACCAGCCAGCCCCATCCGACCTCTTGTTTTTAGATCGGTTACAACTCTGATGCATAACTCCACTTACAATCAATGCAGCTTTATACTGTATGTCATATATAGGTTTTAAATAAGCTGGTAAATAAATAGAATTAGTTTTTGTGTGTAATCCTGTTAAGCAAGCATATCCCAACCACTTGTTCGACGGGTATTTTGAGTACGCCAAAATACACTTTCGATGAGCCCTTGGTGAGGGTCAAGGTCAAAGCAACAAGAAGTAGCATTATCAACAGTATTTTCTTCTTTACCAAATAACATAGCAACACATTTTTTCAAATGGTTACTTGGTATACATTTGTTGATGTATACATAGGGCTTTGGTGTGGTGATCGAAAAGAAATGTTCCACAGCGTAGTACTCAAATAGAAGAGATATTGTCTAAAGATTCGCTCTATATACTGTTTTCAAATTCTAATCTTACAACCTGTAGCGGATATAAGCCTGAAGCATGTCGGCATATATATGTTTGTATCATCGAGTACCCCACGATCGACTATCTACCAGAGCTCCTAATCGGGTGAATTTCTGATGGCCCGCCTGGACCAAACCGGGCCAACAAAAGTCGAGGCCTGCCCGACCCATCATGCTAATCGATTGGCCCGGCCCGATCCGGCCAGTAGTCTTTAGCCCGACTGTAATTGTTTCTAGACTCAATTCAATTTTGTTATGGCAAAAACGCAGTAAAAGCTTTGCTAAGGATTAGTTCAGCAGCATATACATATTGTACAGCACATATTCAAGAATCTATTGTACAATAAACTCAGTAAAGGATAGAATTCCTTTATATCGTGTATTTGTTTCTTCTTCTATCATTAGTCACCTGAACTGACCAGTGATCAAACTCTTTCTCAACAGAATTCACTAAATAATAATAACATATTATTACTCGGAAATAGCCAAATTTAACTGAAAATATAGAGAAAAATTTTAAAATTTCTCGGATCGGGCCGGACCGTAAAAAACGCTGAGCCGACCGAGCTAAAAACTTTTCTCGGACGGCCCGCCCAGCCCGAGAAAAGAAGCGACTGGCTCGGCCCGACCTGGTCCTAGGCGAGTCGGTCCCGGGTCGGGTCATGGAGTCGGTCCCGGGTCGGGTCTTCGAGTCGGGTGGATCGGCAGGAGCTCTGCTAAGTACTTGTGTTTCACTTTATGTACAAAAAATATCAGAAATAATTTTTACATTTTTGAAAAGAAATACTCTTTGTTTCACATTTTTGTCGAGAACGTTTATTTTTTCGCAAGTTCCTATCGTTAGACTTCATTGTTTGATCGGGTTGAAATTTTTAGAGAGACTTGAGATAGTAGCTCAGAGGTGTGCTTTTAGATTTTTAACAAAATTGAAGATATAGAGCATAGAAAATCAAATCTCTGCAAATTGACGATGTCAGTATTGGTATTTACAAAAAAAAAAGACTACAGACTATTAATTTCCGTAGAAAGAGACAAACTCGACAAAAGTAAGTGACTTCTTATGTAAAATTTATAATAGAAATTTACAACTGAAGTACAGTCGTATGTACAAGTAATATATACATTTCAAATTTAGTATACTAAATAGAATTTATGTTCTCATACATTAAAGATCATACCTCTTCTAGGAGTTCATCATATGATTTCATGAATAATGATCTACCACCGGTGAACAACCGTGTGCCTTGCATAAAATATTGTGAACGACTATGTGGTTTATCTTCGCTTATTTTAGCAGCAAATAATTGAGCTTTTTCTTCTACTGTTAGTGGAGATGTTTCTCCAATATTCTAGGTAATAGAAAAATGTATTTAACAAAATTTTCATTTTATAAATAAATCAGAATCCAGTCTTCTTACTTTTAGAAATTTTAAAATATTATCTTTTTCCTGTGTAAATTTGTTATCATCAGATGCATCTAAAATAGTAAGTAAAAATATATGCAGATGAAGCTGCCAGATCACCAATCAAGCGGTCACTTATATTAATGAATAAAACGTAGAATTTGACTTTTAGCCATTATTTGATGTGAATTTTTTCCAAAAATTCTTTAGCCTTCATTAGTCATTGTCCATTTCTAATGAAGACACAATTATGATAAATACAGCCTAAATGACTGACACATTCTACCACCATTTTAGACCGTTTTTTCTCAATATGGTGACCTTTTTGTAGACCTGAATAATTCTTCAAATAGATCGAAGAATACTCTATTTAATGACATAAAAACTTTAGTTACAAATGTTTCTAATCGTCGGAAAATACTATGTCAAACTTTAGCCTAAAAACACCTCTATTTCAGAAAATGTGTCTTTTTTATTAAATCAAACAAATTTACAAACGTAAGCGATACATATTCTAAATCCTAATCTTCACAGCTATCGACTGGTCAAAAAATTCTGCGATATTGTCTCTTGCTGTGAGAGAAAAAAAATTGTTTTCTAAACTAAGTGATTTTCCGAGAGCTAAGTTCAGAAAAATCAATTTCTCACTTTTTCTCATCTCCTAATGTGCCCATTCTCTCGATTGTTCTCTTCGATTGTTATTCTTCGATTGTTCTCTCGATTTTTGTTTCCCAGCTATCTGAAGAACGTAAATCATATTTTTGTTCTTCAGAGAACAAGAAACCATAGTTCATTAAAATATTTGTTTATGAAAATGTGTATATCGGCGAAACTGAGAAGAGGCGATGAATTGATAATAGCGCCTGCTTTCTACAAACTTAAAACAATAAACAAACAAACATTTTTTTTGCGAGTTGCATGATCGTCCTTAGCTTTTTTTGACATCTTCTCCGTCAAAACCTTCATTTTTGGATGATTATCCTTCTTTCAGATTCTATTCTATCATCGCTTTGTCTGTTTGTTTTCATTTGTGCTGCAGAGAAAATTTAGAAGTAAAAGAGGAGTTCGAGATTGAAAGATATAATTATGTTATAATAGAAATTAAGAATAAAATCCCCTTTTTCATGTGAAATGATTAATTTCAAAGTGAGACGTTTAGAATAAAGACGAAACGTCTTAATTTGAAATTTCACATGAAAAAGGTGATTTTATTCTTAATTTCTATTATAAAATTTTTCACCTTAAACAAAGATTTAATAATGTAATTATGTTGTTTTAGTCTTCCTATTTGACCTTCAGGCTTTGCCGATTAGCTTTTTTAAGCTATGAGATCGTATAGTGTTTTGAGATTCATTTGTCAAATGTGTTGCTAGTTGGAGATAGTCTTCTGCGGAACGTAACTTCGAGAATGTTATCATTAGAATCAAATGAATTCAAGAATGAAGTATTATCGATAAGCGGATGCAACATTGCTCGTTTAATTGATTTGTTTCAAAAACGTGAATTTAAAAATCATAAGTTCTATGTCATCTAGTTCTTAAAAACAAGTAGGCTAATTCGAATTTTCTTATTAACTGTAGCACTAAAAAAGTCACACCTTGCATGTAGTAAAATCACTCATGCACTTTTTTTAATATTTACATTAAGGTTTCAAAAGGTCTAGGAAGTCCTTGGCCGTCTATACTAGTATGTCACGATTTCATTCCCTAGTCGAGACTCCTGATTAATCTCCCGCAGGAGTCCTGGAAAAAAAGTCCTACAGGAGTCAGCAGGAGTCCTGTCACAGGGGCCCGGCAGGATCCTCTGTGGAGTCATGGAGGATTTTTAAGGGATTCAAGAGGGATTCCTCAAGACTCCCACAGGAGTTCTATGGGATTCTTAAGGAAGTCCCTGGGGAGTTCTCGGGGATTTTCAAG